TTATATATATATTTAAATATTAACCGATTTTCTAGAATAATCTTCATTTTTAGTCTCATTTCCCGCTGAGCAAGAGTGAAACTCATAAAAATAAATAAATATCTTTCTTTTATTTAAGTGTCTAGTCGTTCTAGCGCTTTCGCACTAATTGGGGACACTTTTCGCTCACACGCAATACCACTTCATTCAATCATATCCTATGCACACAACGCTGAACTCACATGTTGATTTTTACGGAGGGAGAAAACCGGAGAACCCGGAGAAAACCCTCGTGGCATAGGAGAGAACAACACATCAAACAAACTMAATTCACATGTGACGACCGCAGGGCTCGAACCAAATAAGTACCAGCGAACCAGCGACCCGACCCGTTAGACTGACAGCGGTAAAAGACGACGCGTTAGCCGCGAACGCTACTCATGCTACCCTACTCATGTTATGAAACGCTATAGAAACACAGCAACAATTACATTTCTTTTGGTAACTTGGAAGAAAAATGGAAACGGTGTTATATTTCGTTAAAGACATGTAATAAAGAGTGTTTTCCCCTGACTTTGCTTTTAGACACAGGAAAAAAATTAGGCGGCTTGCTCGTATTTTTACGAATTTCCTGGTCTGCCTACTTTTTGGTTGTTAGTTCTATTTAAAGACAATGAACCACCAACGTGGGTAGACACTATAATACATGCACGTAAGGATTTGTAGGGCATGAAAACTGCTTCAGTTTCAAATTCTCTGTGCTCAGGCTACCTGTCAAACTTCTTAAATTCCATGTTTAGACACAGCGATTACTTTTCCATTTCCTCAAGTCGAACAACTAATTGTGTGGCCAGAAAAAAAGCTTTAAAATGCAGAGTGACATCAGCACTCAAATGGCTTCCAATACAAAAGACTGGAAAGCCTCCATTCACATTGGCCCCATAATGAAGCCAATGATACTATAGATTGATAGATATATATATACCTTTCTCGTCAAGACTCTCTTCTTTTCTTCTTTTTCTTCCTTCGCTTCCGCTTCGGTAGCGGCTAAAATAAGATAGGAAAATTGATACGTTATTTTGAATCAAGAGGTTGTTTTAGGGTTGTTTAAGAATAGCCAGCTGATCTGAGAAAAAGGTTGCTAATCAGAATCGTCACTTTTTCTCTTGAAATTATGGATTTCCAGGCCACCAAATCAAAAAACAAAAAACAAAACAAAACAAAACAAAACAAAACAAAACAAAACAAAACAAAACAAAACAAACCATCTTGTCGCTGATATAAGATACCTTGATAACAGTGTAAAATAATTAACGAGTTTTATACTTTTGTTTAAATGGCGGGCATATTTTAATTTTACGCTGATCAATTTTAACAGGCTTAATTAATGACACCTCGGCTTTGCAGTGACTTCATTTCTACGTCACTACTTCAGATCAGCTGGAGCGTACGGTACACGTGGTCGAAATCAGTATGGAAACTAGACTCTTCCACAGTCTCTCGCTCGTCCGTTCCGTCTCCACGCTTAGAGACTGTAACGGTACAATGACCGAAAGGACTTATGGGTCCCGAAAACTTGGACCCAGCGTGCTTTGGGAACCAAAATACTCGTCCACAGTCTCTCTCTTTTCAATATTTTCAAGATGGCGGCGAAAACGAGAGAGACTGTGGACGAGTATTTTGGTTCCCAAAGCACGCTGGGTCCAAGTTTTCGGGAC